CTCAGGGCTTACGGGAGAGCACTGGCTTTCAGAAGGGGCAGAAGCCTAGCTTGCTAAAGGAAGGAAATAAAGGAGGAGGCCCATCCTTGGGTTACCTTTCGCCCCAAGTCACCTGAGCTGGTGCCCTGACCCTGTTTGGGGCCTGCAGAACCTTAGGAACTAGCCACCGCAGGTTTTAATACCTGGATTACCTCCCGTGCGTGAGATTTCAGTGAATGGTAATTGCACAGAAGCTTTGAAGAGCCCCATGTTTCTCTTCTAGGAGAATTCAGGTCGCAGCCTACCACCAGTATTACAGTTTTTTACATGCCTCCATTTTTAATTAGCGTTAACTCCTAAGCTGATGACTGCGTTTCCTTCTACTGGGCTGGGAGTAAGTGCTGTGAGTTTGGGGCGGACCGGTTGTGTTACATACAAAACAGAGACTGCTACTTTCAAAGCAGAATCTTCCCCGTGCGGCCAGGCCTTCTAGCACAATGGCAAGTGACGGCGTGTGGCTGTTTCTCTGGCAGGACGGCGATGGAGAAGAAGCTGATTGGCTGCCCAGTTTGTATCGAGCACAAGAAATACAGCCGGAACGCTCTGCTCTTCAACCTGGGCTTTGTTTGTGATGCGCGAGCCAAGACGTGCGCATTGGAACCCATCGTGAAGAAACTGGCTGGCTATCTCACCACCTTAGAGGTCAGGGGGGCATTGATTCAGCGGTCGATACCTAATGCTGTTGGTCGCAGGTCCCCAGGAGCGGTGCTGCACCCCCAGCTTTAGAACAGTCTGGAGAGACCCCTTCAGTGTGTCCGATCCCTGTGGGTCTCACCCCTTCTACACAGGATAGGCCACGTGGCCCTGATTGTATCAGGCCTTTGTTTTCGAGCGGGGGTCTCTGCTCAGCTTCTGTGCGGTGAGGTGAGGAAATCTGTCTCCTTGGATCGTCCACTGTCCTCTCAGATTTCCCATTGATATGGGGGGCAGCCTCAGCCGGCCCTTTTCCAATGGCCCAGTCAGGCTCAGACAGCTAGGCTATGTGTCCCAGCCCGCCCTGAGAGCCAACAGTCCTTCCCTCCCCACCCCCAAACTGGGTAATCGTGCAAATCACAGGGGAAACTGAGGCATACGTTGGGGTCATAACATTACAGCAAATTCCCCCTCTGTTACACTGTAACGAATCAAAACACCAGTGAAGTGATGCTGTGGTTGTGCTGTTCAGTGTTTTATAGTCAGGTCGTGTGTCTGGGCTCCCAACTCAGTCCTGCAAATGCCTGTAATTGTCACTCTCAGATTCTGTGGCCAGAGTGGACCACTGTAATCCTCTGGGCCGCTTATTTGGCCTCGGAGCCCCCAACGGGGAACTCCCGGTAACGGGTGCGATCCCCCCCTCCCAGGAGGAAGGGAACTTCCCACCATCTTTCCCAGAGCAGAGCTGTAAGAAAAGCAGCCAGTCTTGATTTAAAACCTGCCAGCGAGGGAGAATCCACGGCAGCCCTCGGGAAATTGTCCCTGTGGGTAATTAAACAGCTCACCAGACCGCACCCACTCACTTCTTGCTTGTTCAAACAAAATTAAGTGGCAGGTGATGTGTCTCCTTCTCACTGTGTTTCCTGGGCCGTTCCCTGGGCAGCTGACTTCTCCTAATGGGAAAACGTCAGCCCTTTTGTTTAAAAATAAGGCTGTTTGAGGGCAGCCAGTGTGAATGATTGTTAACAAGTAACGGGGATGGTTTGTTTTGGGTTCCGAGAAGGTAAGTTCATGAGGAGAGAGCCAAGGACAGGTGTCCCTAGCCTGTGTTTGTCAGAGGCTGGAAGTGGGTGACACAGGGGGTGGGGATCGCTCGATGATTCCCTGTTCTGTTCACTCCCTCTGGGGCACCTGGCATTGCCCACCGTCGGCAGCCAGGACACTGGCCTGGATGGACCTTTGGTCTGACCCTGTCTGGCCGTTCTTATGTTCTTCTTAAGTGTAGAATTGTTAATTTTAAAATTCATTTTAAAAAGAAAATGAGAGTTTTGTACTTCCACGATGCTGCAGGTGACCATAGTGACTCTGTCGGGAAGCAGGTAGGACAGGCTAGGGACGTTAAAATTAGATTGATTAACGAATCGAATAGTCGATGGAATTCGATTAGCAATCGAATTTTAACGAATCGAATAGTCGATGGAATTCGATTAGTCACTAAGGGCGCTTCCGCTTTGAAACGTAGCAAGGGCCCGCCCAGCTGTTGCTACATTTCAAAGGAGGAAGTGCCATATGGCGCTTCTGCTTTGAAATGTACAAGAGCCCCAGCGGGAACTCTTGTACATTTCAAAGGTGGAATGCTGCTGCTGCAGCCCTGCCCCCTCCCAGGGAGCTGGAGGGAACAGGCTTTTAAGCCAGTTCCCCCTCCTCTTCCCCCTGCCTTGCTGCCTTTTTCCGATAAGCTTTTGCTTATCGGGTAGTCACCTAGTCACTTACGTCCCTAGTACAGGTGAGGATATATGGTGCTTAGGATCATGGGACCCCGATTGTGCTGTTTCTTCCTGAACAATACTTTGAACAGAAACATAACCTGTTAGTTGAGGTATTGACAATCCGGGGTAAACACCCTTGTTCCTTCCCAGGCTGTCTACAAAGCCACGGAACCCGGACTCGACACTCTTAATGTTTCTCAAGATTAACACCAGTGAAAATTTTTTCAGTAAACACCCTTTTTGGCCTCTGTGCCTTAGGGCGAAATGCATCGCAGTCAATGGGAGCGTTGCCGTTGACTTCGGGATTTCACCTCTTGACCCTGCATAACGTAGTGCGGTGTAGAGAGTAGATTTGTCATTAGCTGTGCGAGCAACAGGACTCCTGGGTCTGAGTAAGAAAAGAGCAACAGAATAGCTCCCTGCCAGCATCGCCTGCAGGACAGCCCTGCGGCACCTTTGCCGGGAGAGGCAGGGTTGTTTGCTGCTGCGACTTGCCATGCTGCTGAGGCAGTGACACGCTGTTCTCTCCTAGCTGGAAAGCGGCTTCATCTCCAACGAAGAGAGTAAACAAAAGCTGGTGCCCATAATGACCATCCTGCTGGAGGAGCTGAACGCCACAGGGAAATGCACCTTGCCAATCGGTAGGGCCGCTGGGCGTCCGGCTGGAACGGAGTCCCTGTCCCTTGGCGTGGCACCCCGCGCATGGCTCCTGTCTGTGGCAGGGGAGCCTCCTGATAGCTGGGAGGAGAGGGGGAGGGCTGCTGGAG